TGCTGCAGGCAGTAGGAAGCATTTCCGCAGTCTCCTCCCCTCCCCGGGGATCACACTGGAGCATTGTAGGTAAGAGGCTGCAGCAGGGGCTCATCTGTGTCAGACATTTGTAATATCAGCCATGAAATGCACATCTCCCGAAAAGAAAAGCAGAGGAAGGCATTGTCAGGGGGAGTACCATGATCCCTGTGAGAGGTAATAAATACCTATATGTCTTACACTTAGCATGCATGCACTTATCATGGAAAAATATGATGCTCGGTCTACTTTAACATAAGCATCACCCGTTCCAGTGATTTATCTATGTCTGGCTATTGATATAATTAAATGGGACAGCCGACGTGGAAGCTATAATGGTGTTGGGTCAATTTTATAATTTATTACGTTTTTAAACTGATGCTGTATATCATTTTTAATTTAATATTAAATCCTCATTTTAGATAACAACATTTGTTAGAAGGTTCCTCTATATAACTGGTTTTATAAAGAATTCTGTGTTTCTAAAAAGGAAGCGCAGCAGTAGCTTTTTCATTTCAGTCTTTTCCTAAATAAACGCTCAATGGAACTGCACAGCGGATGAGTTACACCTTAGAATCTAAGCTTCACTTCCTGTCTTGGACAGGCAACAGGAAATAAGAAGAAATCACTTCACAACGGATGTTAATCAAAATGATTGAGCAAACTTTACTTAATCGTTACTGTTTTCCCAAGGGCAGAGCATGCGGTTCCCTGCCCCCCACCATTGCCCTACTTGACACTAGAGCACTCCACTTTAGGGGCAGTAATTGGTCCAGGAGACATTATGAGATGGTCAGACTGTGTATGTAAAGCCAACCATGGTCTGATGTCCACGCCAGGTTTACACAGCAGAGTCTTTACAAAGGAATGATGAATGTAATGGGCAATCAGGAATGCAGGACTGTAACATTGTAGAAGACAGTGCAGAAGAATAACATTATATGTAGAGATATTTCGGTACTTGCCGGTACGGAATACCGATACCGGTAGTCCCTTCAAGGGACTACCGATAATTACTCGCCACCCGGCTTCCTGATTAGCAGGGAAGCCGTCTCCATGCTCCCTCATCACCAGGTGACGAAGACGCATAGACCCGGCTTTCTGGCCAATCAGGTAGCCGCGTGACGGGTAGTGACTCGTCGCCTGGCTTCTTGATTGGCCAGCTTCCCAAGCAGGAAGCTAGGCGGCGAGTCATTACACAAGAAGCTGGCTCCATGCTCTCTCGTCGCGAGCATTTGCCCAAATACTCGGTATCAGTACCTATACCGATACTAGTATCGGTATAGGTGCATCCCTAATTATATGTAAAGACTGTTTATTACCAGTTCCCACGCAGTGACGTCACCATTTGCTGTAGATACACCTCTGAGCATGCAAGGATGAGCAGGGAGATAAAGGAGGAGCTGATCTGTCTCATTTAGATATGTCTGTAAATTTCAGCTTGAGCTATTGAGTTCTGTAAACAGCTTTTTTTTTCCACAGGAGCTAAAGAGAGTCTGAAAAACATGTGAAAAGGAGCTGGGAGCTCCACCTGCTGGTTGGATGGGAAAGTACAAAATACATACAATCACAATATCTCATTTTGATCCGACTTAAATTTTTCAACTTCAGCTGTTATTATTGCTCATGTTGCTATTATTATTGTCACTATTTTCATCAAGGTTACTATAATTGTTTGTAATATTTTATTATAGGCAGGAACTTACTGTTTGTGTTAGGTAGTACAACAGCATATACTTTGTATGTTGCTTCCTGTTTATACTGTAACCCTGATATAAGGAACCCAATAAAAACTACAATCATTTGCATAGATTACAAGCTTTATCACGCTGATCACTCATTGGCTGGAAATGATAAAGCCACCCTGTCACCACTGGGAGAAAATGAACGTAAAGGCACCATGTGGAAGCAGAAACTTGATACTTACATGTCTGTCGAGTGGTGAGTTAAATCTGGTGCTGCTACTATGTCAGAGTGTCACCAGAGGCGTAGCTACAGAGAATAGTGAATAATGGCAAGCACTTAAAATGTGCCCATTTCCAAAATCTAACACCCATATTATAGGTAACTTTACCATAATATCAACTCAAATCTTTAATAAAAAGTCCCCAGAGTTCCCCTTACATCAGAGTCCCCCTTACTTCAGAGTCCCCAGAGCACCCCTTACATCAGAGTCCCCAAAGGATTCCCTACATCAGAGTCCCGAGAGCCCTCCCTTACATCAGAGTCCCCAGAGCCCTCCCTTACATCAGAGCCCCCTTAACATCAAAGTCCCCAGAGCCCTCCCTTACATCAGAGCCCCCTTTACATCAAAGTCCCCAGAGCCCTCCCTTACATCAGAGCCCCCTTTACATCAAAGTCCTCAGAGCCCTCCCTTACATCAGAGTCCCCAGAACTCCCCTTACATCAGAGTCCCCAGAGCCCCCCTTATATCAGAGTCCCCAGAGTTCCCTTACATGAGAGTCCCCCTTACATCAGAGTCCCCAGAGCCCCCCTTACATCAGAGTCCCCAGAGCTCCCCTTACATCAGAGTCCCCAGAGCCCCCCTTACATCAGAGTCCCCAGAGCTCCCCTTACATCAGAGTCCCCAGAGCCCCCCTTACATCAGAGTCCCCAGAGCTCCCCTTACATCAGAGTCCCCAGAGCCCCCCTTACATCAGAGTCCCCAGAGCTCCCCTTACATCAGAGTCCCCAGAGCCCCCCTTACATCAGAGTCCCCAGAGCTCCCCTTACATCAGAGTCCCCAGAGCCCCCCTTACATCAGAGTCCCCAGAGCTCCCCTTACATCAGAGTCCCCAGAGCCCCCCTTACATCAGAGTCCCCAGAGCTCCCCTTACATCAGAGTCCCCAGAGCCCCCCTTACATCAGAGTCCCCAGAGCTCCCCTTACATCAGAGTCCCCAGAGCCCCCCTTACATCAGAGTCCCCAGAGCTCCCCTTACATCAGAGTCCCCAGAGCCCCCCTTACATCAGAGTCCCCAGAGCTCCCCTTACATCAGAGTCCCCAGAGCCCCCCTTACATCAGAGTCCCCAGAGCTCCCCTTACATCAGAGTCCCCAGAGCTCCCCTTACATCAGAGTCCCCAGAGCCCCCCTTACGTCAAAGTCCCCAGAGCCCCCCTTATATCAGAGTCCCCCTTACATCAGAGTCCACAGAGCTCCCCTTACATCAGAGTCCCCAGAGCTGCCCTTACATCAAAGTCCCCAGAGCCCCCCTTATATCAGAGTCCCCCTTACATCAGAGTCCCCAGAACTCCCCTTACATCAGAGTCCCCAGAGCACTCCTTACATCAGAGTCTCCAGAGGTCTTCCTTACATCAGAGTCCTCGGAATCCTCCCTTACATCAGAGTCCCCAGAGCCCCCCTTATATCATAGTCCCCAGAATCCTCCCTTACATCAGAGTCCCCCTTACATCAGAGTCCTCCTTACATCAGAGTCCCCAGAGCCCCCCCTTACATCAGAGCCCCCCCTTACATCAGAGTTCCCAGAGCCCCCCCTTACATCAGAGTTCCCAGAGCACCCCCTTACATCAGAGTTCCCAGAGCACCCCCTTACATCAAAGTCCCCAGAGCTACCCTTACATCAGAACCCCCTTACATCTAACATCAGAGTCCCCAGAATCCTCCCTTACATCAGAGTCCTCCTTACATCAGAGTCCCCAGAGCCCCCCTTACATCAGAGTTCCCAGAGCCCCCCTTACATCAGAGTTCCAAGAGCTACCCTTACATCAGAGTTCCCAGAGCTCCCCTTACATCAGAGTCCCCAGAGATACCCTTACATCAGAGTTCCCTTCACATCAAAGTCCCCAGAGCCCCCCTTACATCAGAGTCCCCAGAGCTCCCCTTACATCAGAGTCCCCAGAGCCCCCCTTATAGCAGAGTCCCCAGGGCCCCCCTTACATCAGAGGCCCCCTTACATCAAAGTCCTGAGGACTTTGATGTACGAGGGGAATCTGACATAAAGGGTGAACCCTGCGGATTCAGTTCCACTTACATGTGCCATACCCTGGATACACCACTGTGTGTCACCATCTGGGTGCTGTGGTTCCTTCCACTAACCCCTACGTCACTGCAAGACACAGTAGCAACATAAGAGTTGGCAGGGAGAGTCACAACGCTGGGCTGGAAACACGTTCTCTGACACTGTGCAGCTAATTACCCAGTATTGATGTTTATATGCCGGCCCTGAATGAGTAATGTATGCAGAGGTGGTGCAGGCGCAGATTGGCCTCAGCCTTTGTTCAGACAGGTCATTCTGCACCCGTGTCAGCCCTGAATATACTAGGCAGGATATATTTACACTATGGACTGTATGTATGTAAATGTTAGTACAAACACATCAAAATGGAGCAACGTGATTGGCCCTTATAGCATACAATGGGCCCAGACGCAGATTGTACGGATCTTAGCTCATACGGACAAAAACGTATGCAGGATCTTGCTGCGTGAATCAATACGGCCGTGTGTGTGAGGGCTATATCAGGGGTAGGCAACCTCGGCACTCCAGCTGTGAAGAAACATCAAATCCCATAATGCCTCTGCCTCAGAGTCTTGCAATGCCTCATAGGACTTGCAGTTCCACCACAGCGGAACTGCCCAGGTTGGCCATCCCTATGGATCTTCTTCCACACGGCACTTTTATTTCCTCCCAGTGACAATAGAGACTCTTTAATAAAAAAACATGGCGGCATCGAGAATTTCCGCCAATAGTTTCATCAGGAAACGCCACATGGAAAATAAAGTCACGCACACACAGAGCAACTGTATTTTTATTGCACAACGTCTCAGGATTCTAAATATTTGCACTTTCAAAGCAGCTTGATATACATTCTTTGTGGGAAAGTTATCGAGAGAAAAAGATGAGAACCGAATCACGGAAAAAAAAATAAAAGCAGAGCAAAGGTGTGAACTCAACAAACCACATGGAAATGAGATCGCTCGGATGCGTTAATTCCTTCTGTACCGCAAAGATATCCCATATATATATATATAGACAATGCAGAGCTTAGACCCAGGGCAGGCTGCGGCCTTTTAGGATTCAAAAACCCACCAGGAAGCTGCAAATACAAAAATAAGAGGGGCTGTCATGGCGTCGTATACTTGGAAATGGAAATTAAAAGCTGAACTGTAGGCAAACAGTGCAATACAAACTACATATGGGAGATGTTTTACCTGTCAAAGGTTTATCAATGTGTCCAGGTAGACCCAAGATTATTATTATTATTATTATAATACAGGATTCATATAGCACCAACAGTATGTGTAGCGCTTTACAAAATAAGAGGAGACACTTCAGTTACAATACAATTCACTACAAGAGGATTAGAAGTGTCACGTAGTTTAGGCAGCTAAGCCAGGATAGTGACCTCACTTTTCTGTACAGCATTTAAGTAATGCAGACTGGTCATCTCCCTGCCCCCCTCCAATGACTGGACACTGAAGCAACAGCAGATGACTACTGATAAGGTCTTCTCTCTTCTTTCTTTTTGTCATGCCAGCCATGCCTTACTGCTCCCAGTCTGAGTGCACAGGGGATAACAGGACATTGATTACTTTTATTATTTATGTATTTATTATTTATAATACTAATAACAACAATATTAGTATAAAAAATAATCAACAGGACATTGGTTATATTTTATTATACTAATAATAATGACAAAAATATTGTTATTATTGTTGTTGTTCTTATTATTATTTAAATAAATATATGTATTATCGATAACAAAGCAGATTACTTAATAGTTCAATCTGAAAATATATCAAGGAAAGTCCACCCTTGGGAGTATGTTTCATGTTACACCCATATTTAGGGTGTAACATTGAACATGGTCATATTGTCCAACCCCCCCACCCTCAAACCACCCCTCATTTACCTGAATTGCGGGCTGTTTCTCCTCAGACAGCTGGGTCATCTATTCACAGATCTATTCACAAGATTTGTGAATGGGAAGGCTTCAAGTCCCTATCTGACACCTGGCAAAGGGACTCTGCATGGACCGTATCGCTGTCCTTTGTTTTACCTCCTGCAGCCCCATAATTATACCTCAATATGGACCTGGGCTAGTTCTGCTGGAGCCTGTGCAATGCACCTATACTTCATCACAGTTGCAATGCTCTGCAGCCTGAATGCAAAAAATTAACGAACGCAAAAAATTTTCTTTTATCGATAAGGGGGCTTTTATTTATTTATATACTGACTATATAATGGCATTATTTCTTTTATATCTGTCTAGAGTTCAGCTTTACAGAAAAAGTGCACAAAGCATTGAGCTCTGGTGTCCAATCACAGAGAAGGATCTGTGTGCAAGAAGTGCTACGGATTGGCTGTCCAGGTGGAGTCAGCCAATCAGTAGTACTGCCTGCACATTTGGGTACAAAAGGTGGGTGGAGCCGGGAACTTACCTGCATAGACCTCACAATCTATAAATTCAACCTGCCAGCCTCTACCCAAACGTGAAATATAATTTCTTTTTAAATTCCCCCTTCCCTCCCCCGTAAAACCCTCTGAAGACGTTCACCTGGGAAGAGCATGGTCTTGATCTCCTCCGGGCCCTCCAGACAATCGATGGATGCTCTCTGAAAGGCTTTGCTTTGTACAGACTGAAGATGACTAAGAAGAAAAAGAAGAAAAAAAGAAAAATTCTAAAATGCTGCAATAAATGTGAATTATTAAACTCTGATCACTTTGAATAAGATCTAGGTTTAATGATATATATGTATGTGTATATATACATTACGTGCCCCGGAAATGCGTTCCTGTGTTGTCACTTGGACAGGAAGTGAGGGGAAATCTCCCTAATGGGCGAAACACAGCAAGAAAACCCTGACAGGTGTTGTAATGCTACTTCACTCTACAATGGTGTGTTATTACTGTCCGTGTTCCTTTTCGTAGAAATTCCCCTCACTTCCTGCTTTGGCAACCAGCAAACACATAGGGAGTGAGGTAGTTTTCCCTTACGTCCTATTCTGTGTAACAGCCATGAGGTAGACCGGAAGTTAGGAAGAAAATTAGCAAAAGGACCTCAATAAAAATTAGAAGAGGTTCTGTAATTCCCCAACTCTGTCCAAAACTCAATAAACAAAACCTTTTGGCTGGAAGTGGGATGAAGCTGAACTCCGGGATAAGCAAATATTGTCCTCATACAAAAGTCATGTGTATTGTTATTTGAATTTTGGTGAGCTTTGTGTATTTCTCCCAGATCTGTGCAGTAATCCAGTGTGAGACTCGGAGCTTCCTGTAATAAAGACCACTCACTGCTACTCTCTCTCCTTTTGCAGGGTGATTGGTCTTGTTTCCGCCCCTCCTGTAATAAAGACCGGTCACTGCTGCTCTGTCTCCTTGTGCAGCGTGACTGGTCTTGTCTCCACCCCCTCCTGTAGTTTTCTGTAGTCAGCCTGTAGTGGGTGGAGCTGCTAGGCCCCTCCCACAGTTCTGCGCTCTGCACGGACCATGATGATGTCACTGCTTTTTTACACGGTGATATCTAGACTTGCAAAGGCATTTTGGTGCACACAAAGTGGATTCATATATTTTGTGTCTTGTGAGAAATATATATAAATGAAAATGTTTGTGCCCAGAGTTCCGCTTTAAACGACTTGTGTTTATGAGATTCCAGTGTGTTGTTCTGCTGAGCTCTGGCACATGCTGTCTGTCTGGATTGTTGCTGAGTTTTATTGGGTTGCTAGGAATTGTTCTTTGTCAGCCACACAGGTGGTTTATTGATTTTCTGATTATACAGTGCAGCATGCTTTATGAGCTCAATATTCAGCAAGTGTGGCCGGGTGCACGTAGTCTACCAAATCAGCTGCTGTTCACTGTGCTCCGTCATCCTTCCTCCAGATCTGAACACAATGACCCGGCTTCTAATGTCACAACTAATAAGTTTACCGAGACATTTCATTAAAAATATCTAGACTTAAAAATACATTTTTATTTAAAGTTACATTCATGGCTTTTTATTAAAAAACAAAGGGGGTTATTCACAAAGGAGCCGAAGGATCCAGTCGTAACTTCGGCTGATCCTTCAGCTCTCTTCGGCCGCCAGAGCCCTCCCTTCGGTTCAGTCGAACCAAAGGGCTGCTGTACAGGCTATTCACTATAGCCCTAGGAGCAGGCGAAGGCGGCAGAGCGGCTCAGCTGAGCCGAAGGCATGTGCTTCGGCTCGACTGAGCCGAAGTGACACCCGAAGCAGAGCGAATGGCTTGCCAAAGGGCTGGCCGTAAGCCCCCGAAATGACAGCTGGGCAGAGCCAGACGTGATCTCACGGCTGGTTTCGCCCAGTTGTGATGACAGATCAGTGTCCCCAAATGACATGGGGACGCTGATCTGTCATTAAACATTAACAACTGGCCGGAGATGACTGTGATGTCACGGCCCGCTCCACCCAGTTTTTATTCATTGGCCGGGACCTGTTAGAAGACTCTAGCAGGTGCCAGCCAATAGGAAGCTGTCACTGCTAGCTCAGCCCACTTGTTTTTGTTTCTGTTTTTTTTTTAAAAAACCTTATTTTTTCATTTTAATATTTATTTTCATTTCAAAAATATATTTGTTTAACCTTTTTTTTTCCTTCTACTTTTTTCCCTATTTTCTATTCTGCTCGGTACCACAGAGGTACCGAGCAGAATAGCCGAGCAGAATGCCGCCCGGTGGCATTCGGCTATTTACTCACTGCCGTTAGGCCCCTATGATAATAGGGGCGAACAGCAGCGAGCGAGCTGCCGAAGCTTCGGCTCAGCCGATCCAGATGTTGGATCGGCTGAGTCAAAGTCCTTCTGCACTTTGGCTCAGCCAAACATGCAGAGCATGTTTGGCTGACTGAAGTGCAGCTAAAGGCAGCCGATGTACGGCTGATTTCAGCCGGTGCACGGCTGATTTTGGCCAATGTATGGCTGAAATCAGCCGTACTGAGCCGGAGTGAATAGCCGAACATAGCTCGGCTCACTTCACTTCGGCTGGGTTATGTACTCGGCTGCCTTCGGCAGCTTTGTGAATAACTCCCAAAATCTTTTCTATTTTACTTGCATAGATCAGCGCTGAGACTCTGATGTTCCCATGCTCCAACTATTTCTGTAAGGGCTTGTAAACACAGGCGTTAATTCTAACTTTTGCATTCGAATGCAGCACTGTGCAAATGCATGCATGCAAAAGCAAAGGGTTAGTTGGGGCTGCAAAGATAAAGTGTCAATCATCTTAGCTCTGCCTCGTCTTTGCTATCCTAGCAGCCGGTATAGAAACTCCCACTGTCAGAATAATTTAAAATTTCAGCTGGAGTGCAAAATGATAGTGAAACATTAAAAAAAAAAAAATATGACATGTTACTAACTACACAACACATGCTGCTCATAACCAATGTACCAATGTACAAGCTTTCTCAATGCTCTTGATAGGTTTTTTACATTGGCTATAGAGGCCAATTATAAGGAAGAATAAACATATTATTATTTATAAGATAGATATATGTGAAAAGTTTTTAATCATACGCAGATATAGGTAAATATGGTTTTAATCATAAGATAGTCACATATAGTACATGTTTGTTCTATTTAATGTTGTTTCAACTAAAAGTGCCTGTTAATCTCCCATCACACCACCAGGTGGCAGCAGACAAACCCTTATAACCTTTTCGCTGCCGAAGCAATTTATTCATTTTACACCTGTTTAGGCCTCATTCACACGAGAATCGGCCGCCATGTACAGCTTCGTGCTGTGTGGACGGCCATATCGGGCAGCTCCCGGGAAGGACAGGTGCTGCGTGTGATTAGTACGCAGCCACTGTCTTTCTCTATGGGACTACGCAGCCGTACCCGCCCTACGCTCACCCCAAGTGCAGGTCCGTACAGGTGTGGGTGTCCCGGCTCGGACGCAGACAGGATCCATCCTGTCAGTGTACGAGTACTGACACCCGCATGGACGTGCAGGGCGGGTGAGCGTAGTCAGTGTACGGCCGTGTAGTCCCATAGAGAAAGACAGGGGCTGCGTACTAATCACATGCAGCACCTGTCCTTCCCGGGAGCTGCCCGATACGGCCCTGCACGCAGCACGGAGCTGTACATAGCTGCCGTTTCTCGTGTGATTGAGGCCTACAATGCACGTTTTAGGTTGGAAAATTACTTAACTCCCCCCAAACATTACATATCTTCTGAAAGCAGAAAGCATGTAGACTAAATAGTAGATGCACAGTAGTAGCATGCAATGTGTGGTACGGCAATAATATGCGCTGCGATGTAGTGAAAACACACTACTTTTGTTCCCTGCATGTCAATGCAATACATGTCATTGCTGTACCACATGTTACTCTGTCCCAGTCATTTCTGCTCTGCCCTAGTCACCCTTACTCTGTTCCAATCATCCCCAATCTGTGCTGGTCACTCCCGCTCTGTCCCACTCACCCCAACTTAATCTGAGTCACTCCCACTCTGCCCAGATCACCCCTTCTCTGCCCAAATTTTAGACGGTTCCATGTAGTATCAAAGCATGCCCACCCCTTCCTGCCACCCACATATTGCTATTGGTCAGTGAGGTAGCCCATTTTATGAGCTGGAGCTTTGTTAAATCAGAACTGCCCAGCATTTGGACAGGCACTGCAGGCTGAGCTGCTTCAATTGCTTTTTTTCTGCTGAAGTAGCAGAATCACTAACTTCTTATCCTTACAGGTCTTATGTTAGCTTTATAGGCCACTTGTCTCAGTTCTAGCAAAACTGTGTGTAGGTTCGAGCTTATGGCAGCCATAGAAATGGACTGGTAGGGAATGCAATCACGAGAGCTGCTCCCTTGCAATCTACTTTGCCAGTATGGCTGAGTCAGGGACTCTCCTACCGATCAAGGTATTGCACTTACCTTTTCCAGGAGTCTTCTCCCTCCCATATCTCATACAGGGTGTAGCCTGGCTGGGACTGAAGCTTCTGGACAGACACACTGAATAAAACAAAACACAGTTTTAAATGTACAGTCAAACATGAATCGGGGCACACATCCTACCTACTAATTGGCATTTATCTCTGCTTGCCCTAACTACTAAAATCCCCAATAAAAACCATAAAAACGTGATATACAAAAGGGTTGGTGGAACACTATATAGAGCACAGGGGCCACAGCTAGGCCATTGGAACAGTATCTTAAAAATAGTAGAAAAATCAAAGGCAGACTATTTTTACAGCTCAGAAGTAAGTTTTGGTCACGAAATTAAATTTAAACAGCCATTTTAGAGGTACTAAGTGACTCCCTTCTTCAAAGCTAAAACAGAACAAATAGACTGGAATTAGAGTTGTAAATATGGGGGAGAGAGAGAGAGAGAGAGAGATCTTCGTATTGCAAATTAGACAAAACATATTTTATTTGATAAAGTGTAACAAAATAAAGTTAAAATATGTAATAAGTGGTGAATAGATTTAATATAAATGGATTCGCTGCTGTACTGTAAAATAATTGAACTGGGGAAGACCTGGATAAAGGATTGGTATGACGCTATTGGAATCTGGTGAAGAGGAACAAAGTGTTTAGCATGTAGGTAGAGGAAGTCGGTCTAATAATAAATACAAGTTGTTTCAAGGTTGGGTAGTTACAGAGAAATGTGGATGGGTACAGGAAGAATCTATGCAATCGGAATCTGGCAGAGTAAAAGAAAAGAAATCTAGTTTAAACCACCAGGAATCAAAGTATTTAAATTGGATATCCAGAAGGTTTCCCATTGACATATGTTTTTGTATCTATTATTATTATCTGACAACGATCTTACACTATTGTATTGTGTTTTTTGGACTTATCGTCGATGTATATGCTATATTTAAAAAATAAATAATTTTAGACCTCTTTGTTATGCTGTAGCCCTGATGAAGTGGGGTCCCCCTTCCCCCAAGTCACCAATAATTGATTCTTTAAAAATAGATTGGTGCTGATCTTTGTAAAATTTGTAGCAATAAAAACTTAATAAAGGTTCCAACTCTCTTCCACTCTATCCCATATTAGTAGAAACCAGTTTTAGCTGGAGTTACAGGTACTTTGCTAATGCAAGGCAAAGCAACCGATTGATTCAACAGCCACCTCCCTCCGCTACTTACCTTCCTGCGCTCTCCCAATGCCCTGTTTGTCTGAAGATGTCTCAGGAAAAAGCTTTGTGGGGGTTACTGGTTGGCACTGGGTAAGAGCTTATAAAGGGTTTCGGACCTGTTCCCAGGCGGCAGTGCTCATACCTGGTGATAGGTGGTCAGAACATTCAGTGCTGCAATATGGGAGGCAGGGAAGAGAGTCACATGTCCCCCATACCTAGGTGTACTTGGTACATCATAGGGCTTTGGCAGGTGAATGGAGCAGAAGGGAGAGCATAGTATCAGCAGTGGAGGGGAACTGGTCTATCAAGCAATTGTGATATTTTTTACTCAATGGCCACCATCCCTGGCCACCAGAGTCATGGAGTACCCTATTTCCATCCCTGGACATCAACAAATGTTGTACCCTGTTTCCATCCCTGGGCACTAACGAATGGTGTACCCTGTTTCCATCCCTGGTCACCAGCATCACAGTGTACCCTGTTTCCATTCCTGCTCACCAGTGTCATGTTGTACCCTGTTTCCATTCCTAGTCACCAGCCTCTTGGTGTACCCTGTTCTATTCCTGGTCACTGATACATTTAGTACCCATTCAGACATGCAGTACACCACAATGCATGGCATGGGAGTTGTGGTGCACCGCAGTGCAGATACTCTAATGAAATGAAAATAATTAGCACCACAAAGCACCATGGTAAACGCACATTTTTCCACATGTTACCACAAGGAGATGTAAAGGAGCCTTTGTGGAAATGGTAGTGTATCCTGGCTGCATTGTGACTTTAATGGTTGCTTTTTACAATCATCATTCCACATTTCCGTCATAATAATGAAACTATAACAAATGTAATAATAAAAGTAATGACATATAGGGGCTTTAACCTGCACTATAATCTTCTAACATTTACAAATATAGCCTGTACCAGAATTAGGAACCACCGTGCTAGAAGGTGTAAAGCAGTATAAAGCAGTTCCATCTTTTCTGGGGCCACGCTGATAGTACATATAATGATGTCAGAATGCGGAAAGTTCCAAGGCAGGTAAGATTTAGCTGCATCCATGTAATGAGATCTCTATCTCTCTCCAGCTGCTCTCAGCTGTAACATCTCTGGAAGGATCAGGAATAGAAGGGGTTCTCTAACAATGCTTTCTCTGTGAAGGTGACATATCATTATTCACCTCTACGATGACTCACAACTGCAGAGAACAGACAGTGCCCTTCTCCGGGAAACAATCTCACAATTGTGTTTTTATTTTATTCTACGCATTTTCCAGCTGCGTAAAGGAAGAAAGAACAGGAAGGACATTATTATTTTGCTGTTGCCTTGACCAGCGTGTGCGTAATTATTGTATGCCTTGCTGTACAATAAAATGTTCAGTTTTGCTAACTGTTAAAGCGTATCTATAGCCCAAACATTTTAGTTTTGGATGGAGTGGGGAAGGGTAAGTTGCTCTGCCGCTGATTAAACATACTCATTCCCATGGCTTTGATTAATACATCCAAGATCTTTACTCTGAGTCTATAAACTATGTTGATGATAGCTCATGCTCTGATGAAGGTGGGACTGTTTGGCCCCTGAAACGCTTTGGCAGCCCTTTGTTTTTCCTTATCGGTAAATCAGTAAAAGAGTTTTTGGACTCTTAAAGGGTCCTTTTCTGGTTTGGCTGTAACAAAGACTTCTCAATTTGGGTGACCCCTTTTTAGTTTGTGGTTTTATTTGACAATCACCAGCACACACATAGTCGACTCTCAATACGATAAACTGACAATGTTTCGGGGCCATGCTGGGTCCCTTCTTTAAGGCCACACAGTGACTGCCCTGAATAGTGCCCTGAAGAAACTTTGGTGGTATATGATATAATGTGATGACGATTTAATAACATTGTCAGACAAAACTTGAGTTTCACAGGGCGCCATCCGAGTCATCACTGCGAGCACCACCATTTTGCAGGTCACAAGGCTGTATGGAGTGTACACTTTGCAGTTTGTGGGTCTCCCGTTTTGCAAAGACTTGATACATCTAAGCTACTTTGCTTAATTAAGGGCATCATTTCTTTTAGTTGAGGATATATATATTGAGCACCTTGCTCGCACCTCTCTTTAGGTTGTTATTGCTGTCTGGGTCCATGCTAACAATATTTGCCCTTCCTGTGGCTAAGTTCACACAGACGGCCGGGTAAAAATAGGCTGTTGAGCCACGTGTACTGCCCCTGACCACCAATCTACAATGTGATGTGACATGGTGGCTGCTCAGAACCGTCCACATTACAGTGACCACGATGCTTTGCGTTGTGGCAATTTTAACTCGGCATGACAAGGTTGACAGATGGCACCACCTGTCAAGCTACCAAATGAAGTCAATGGGACAGCACCATTTTCAATGTAAGATCCCTCTTAGCATGAAAAAAAAGGCTTCAGGAGACCACCACTCGGCCACCAATGGCTTTACAAAAGGGTGGTAGAGCCTGCTGCGTGCATGTGAAAGAGGCCTATTTGTGCTGGTGACTATGTCACAAGAACAGTAATTTATGGCAAATCCAAAATTTGCAGATGTCACTCGAACAGGAAATGAAAAGAAATCTTCCATCGAAGATGGCAGTTCTGGTGACATCTGTCTAAGAGGGGATTTTCCATTGCTTTGGAAAGACTTCCCTTTCCCCTCCTGTTATGTTTTTGGGACATGAATTGAAAGGAAATCTCCCCAATGGGGCAACCAGACAAGTCTCAACCCATCAGGTTGTCCCATCGTGTTTGCTCCAGTGGGACAGCCTGAAGGGTTTTAAGGGTTTTAATCATCCCCCTCCACATCCACAGCTAAAAAGTTTTGGCCAAACACTTTAAATATATATATATTGCTTCTTCTTGTAAAAAAAAAAAAAATGCTGAGCACCCTTCAGTTTGGTTTCTAATTTAAAATGGCTCTTCATCTGAATGCTGTTTGGATAAACTCTCAGCAAGCTGGAAGATTGCCATGATGGATGTTAAAGAGGAACAAAATCCCACTGCCATTTCAGAGAAGCAACAACCCTCTTTGTCTGTGTTTGCAGTCAACATGGTTTTTACCATCTAGGTATGGACCATTAAGGACTAATCTAGGTACAGAACAAAATCCAACATGACGCCGGTCTGAAACTTAACTCACCACAATTGGTGAAACTTGGCATCCCTTTCTACCCTACTCATATGGGTAACCCATTCAGATGATGCTGTGTCATATATGAAGTACACAATCTGAAGCACCAGTGGGAAAACCCAACATTCTGGGTTACCAGGACTTCCAGATCTGTCCTCCCCCAGTGAGAATCCATGGCTCAGAAGCCAAGAACACTACCAGTATTTTTCCAGTTCTTTTTGAAATGTAAAGTGTATGTAAACCCTAAATATATTTTCCAATATGTTAGGCACCATGCCTTACTTTAACATGTTTACATTATTTGTTAATCTGTTGTAAAGTTTCTTACCTGCAGATCCTACCAGTAACAGCACTTCTTTAAGGATTTGGATGGATCTCAGCAGGTACAACAAAGCAGATATTCATTCGCCTTCATTTTTCAGAGTAAGCCCATAGTGCCCAATAAGCTTTCAACTGTCATTTTAAATGCCCAACTATCATTTTTACCGGTGAACACCTGACACTCTTTGTTGCAATGCAAATCGTGTTTCTAAATCGGCTCATGATTTTTTCCCCCATTGATGACTGCCGCAATTAGGATTCTGAGACATGTTATGTTCTAGCAAATTCACATTTATTGCACCTGTTTACCCCACATTGATTTGCTAAGGAAGGAATTTGATTGCTATTGCCAACACAGTTCATTTATAGAAACTTAATTTACATTGCAGGCGCTCTTATACATTCTTGAGGGCTGTTATTTTTCCAGGTTATTTATCAATGTCAATCATGTATCTCAGGGTTGTGCAACACAATGAATGTATTCATATAAATGTATATATGAATGTATTCATATATGAGTGTTCACAAACAAATATCTCTCTGATTTAGAACAGGTTAAAGCTAAACTCTAGGCAAACAGCTAACTACACGGATTAAATACATAGACGGGGACTGTTTTATCCTCCAGAGGATTTGTAATGCTATCCATTCAGTCTTGCGATTTACACAGCTCTGCCACACAGTCCTGTCTGGCAGGGCAGAAGACCTAATTTTCTTTCTCTATCACATTTAAGAAACACTTATAAGCCTTGTCCCTCACGGTGAAAGGAGAAGCAGCAGATTAGGTATTTTCTCTGCTCTCTCCTCTTATCAGCATGAACACTACAGCACAACTGATTGGCTCTTTGTGCTACAGGAGACTGGAAAAGGCTAAATCCAGGTCAAAGTCAGGCACTTACACTGCATACAATAAATATTTTAAACGTCTCATCAAGCTTTAAACACTTGATGAGATATCATTTAGATTATATCAACATGCTCCCCAGCAGAGCAGTATGCATGCTAGCTACATTTATTATTTTAAAACCAGGTTATAAATAATCTTGGAGTTACAAAATATAAACCTTTGTGTAGGTAACAAATAAGACTTGAGCTAGAACTGAGGCCAAAACTTTTTTCTTAGTTGTGGATAGAGTAAGGGTTTGAACCTTTGACAGCTTTTCTTTTTTTTTTTGCCAAGTGTATCCCATTGGGGATATTTCCCTTCACTTCCTATCTGAGCCCTTGTTCTCACCGAAAGCGTGTGCGTTCCAGAGCAGTAGCTGCTGGAACGCACTGCGATCGCTGAGAAACTTCCCCCCGTGTTTTGGGGCGGGAGGGGGCATGGCGGTGCATTGAATTCAATGGCACCGCTTCCATGCCCCCCTGCCGGCAGTGCGATCGAACGCGTGGCAAAACTTTGCCAGCGTTCCGTTCCACTGCAAGCGAAAAAAATAAGGCTTGCTCTATTTTTTGCGTTTGCAGTGGAACGCAACGCTGACAAAGTACTGACAGGGGCACACCCAGGGACAGGGGACAATACAATAGCCCGGCAGAGGTGATTCCCCCCCATCCTGCTGGGCTGAATGAGAAAAACCACACACTGTATGGCTGGCTTTTCATTGAAAGTACAGTGTAGCACAACCTCCTTCTTGCACTTCTGAGCCCAGCTAAGCAGATTACAGCTTCAGATGCTTATATTAGCTCTACTTATAGATGCTTGTAATGGGTTTTAAATGACTAAAAGCGTTTGTTCTTGTTCAGACCGTGAGGATGAACAAGACAAAACTAAAAGAGCACTTTGCACTTCCAATTTTTACTGCTTTATTAAATTAGCCTAGCTGACTATAGACCAAGCGAAGCCTACATGAAAGCACTTCTGTCGCAAATAAGTCAGCTCTGGTATTATTAATAAAAAAAAGTTCCAGTGGAAATCCACAAATAAATGCCTAATGTCCTTACTGTAAACATTGATCCTGGGTAGCGGTGAATTCTTTGTAGCTCCTTAGAGAGGCTTCAAATTGATCCAAACGAACTTCAGCAACAGGTAATTGTCTCTGGGCCACCAGGATGAACTAAATCAAAATAAACCAATAAACCAGTGAACCAATGACTGATGGGCTGGTGATGAGAATTATATCTTTGATGGGTCATGTTGATGTAGTTATTTTTCATTCGATGAAATGTATTTAGAAATGCTAGAGATATTGTGTACTGTATATACATGTTTTATCAGAAAGGCTCTCCAAAGAGCAGTGATGATCTAAACACAGTTACACATATTAACTAATGAGATTTCAATGGAAGTATTCAGATCGGTGATTGAAGATTTCTGACTGATGGGTTGCTGCACTTTTCCTTATTATAAAAGCTTGTTAGAAGCTTAAAAAGACCCAGTCAGGTCTGTAACCAAATGCAATGGCCAGTTCTCTGCAACAGATTAAGTAGTCTGCTCACCTCTCTGGAGGCCTGACTCTCCTATCCATAGTTACATAGTTACATAGTATTTGAGGTTGAATAAAGACACAGGTCCATCAAGTTCAACCTTTGTGTGTCTGTGTGTGTTTGTGCAATTGTATATGAGTCCCTGTGTGGTCTTAGTTTTTAAGAGTACCTGAACCACTGTATGTTACGGTCTCTAAGGATGGTATCTAATTGATTTTTAAATTATTCAATATTCTGTGCTGATGCCACTGCTTGTGGCAGAGAGTTCCAAAATGTAACCACTCTGACTAAAAAGAATCCCCTACGCCCTGTGTGGGTAAATCTTTTCTCCACCAATTTTAGGTGATGACCTCTAGTCTTTGTTAGGGAGTTTACAGTAAAAGGTTTATTGCTGATGTTGCCATCTCTACCAAACATTTTGTACATCAAAATCATGTTCCCTCTTAATCTTCCCACTTCCAGCAACCTTGTCTCATAGCATTGATCCTCCAGCCCCTTAATCCCTTCTCTGCAGGGAATGCTGCTTGCAGTGGGGGGAACCATATACAGAGTTTTTTCTTGCTCAACCCTGCAGGTTAAATGAGGCAAAACTATTGAATCCTCCATCCACGTTAACAGCTCAAGAGGAGTCCTGATGGGGCAAATATTATCTGAGTTGGAAGGACTTAACCAAAATTTGACCAGTGTATGGCAGACTAAGACACTTACAGAAGCTGGAGGGTTGGAAAATAGAATGGGGATGGGGGAGGATGGTGGTTGGGTAGTAGACCCTAGAAACTAGCATCCCATTTGGTTACCTGACAGGGTCTCTTTAAAATTGACCTGCCATATCCCACCATAAATCTTCCTGAGAGAACAAAAATAAGGGGGAGGTAGGCCAAAACGTATGAAAAGGAAGAGAAAGAGCAGTAGGTAAGTAAAGGGAATTTAAGAACATGGAGATGGTGAGACCAGCATTAAAGTGAACCTGTTTCTTTACCTTGCATGGGTGCAGGGGACAGGTTCACTTTAAACAACCAATACTTAATGATAGATTCCTTTCACTAAAACTAGCAGCCAACATAATCATAATCATATGTTAAAACAAAATGCTTTTGTAATACATTGTTCATTGTTAAGGTTGACATACCAGGAAATTACACAAAAGATATATTAAATAGAAATTCCACCCCAATGCATCAAAATAAAGTTGAATTCTCATGTGTTTCTCTGTCTCATCATATACATTGTTGAGACTGTGTAGGGTGAATCATTGGATGAATGTGAAATGTGTCTGGCTGTAGATGTTTGAATTTTTCTCTCAGATTTTGGTAAACAGAAAGTTTTGGTAATTAAGCAGAAGATTTTCTTTTTGACTAGAGTTTCCCTGTTATGTGGTTGGATTGTGTTACGGGTGTTTGTCATCGTGTTTGGAGACACAATGTTCACAAACATGTACTCTACGTTCATGATGCATAAATTTGATAAGAGATACAATCTGAGATTTCCTTCTCTTAGTGACATTTCTTGTAAGCCTATCTGTTTCTCGGACCTGGAATATACTTTAAAAATAATTTACTAATTTACTTTAAAAATAAAACTGTACGTTCCATTCAAAGTAAACCTGCGTTTTGCCCACGCAGAATGAAGCATAAGCCCTAATTAAAGTATAACTAAACCCAAGTACATAAATGTGAAGTGTATCATATCCTGGGAAACAAAAACCTGCCCTTGCAGTGGGGCTTCTCCTGCACTGCAAGGTTAACTTCTTGTTATTGTCTAGGAGTATGGTGTAAAGCAGTTTTACTTACCTGATCCCTGCTCCCCCAGCAGTCACAACTCTTCTCTGTCCCATCCACTACAGCTTGTGGGCTGTCCCTAAGCATCCTCATGTATAATGCAGGATTATGAACCCTGCCTTAGAGGTGATGACTTCAGTGGGCCGCCATCTGCTGGAGTGGAGGGGGTATAAGGTTGCAAGCACAAGTCTGGGAGCCAGCAGCATTGGGGAACAGGTCCCCCAGACCAGCCTTTCTCAACCAGGGAATCATGGAACCCTGACGTGCCTTCTGCCTTCCTCAGGTGTTCCTCGAAATTTTTGAGTCCTTTTCATAGCACAGCAGACTCCTGATGGAAGGGGGCTCCTGATTTCAAGGGTAAATTCTGATGAGAAAGGGGAGATACTCTGATATGAAAGGGTGGGAATCTGAGGTGAAAAGGGGGCTTCTGATGTGAAGAGGGCCTTTGATGTAAAAGGGGAGGCTTGTGAAGTAGAGAGGGGTTGTGATGTGAAAGGATGGGGACTAATGTGATGGATGGACTCCGATGTAAAGGGGAGCCACAAGTGTGAGAGGGGGAACCTGATGTGAAAGGAGGGAGCTCCCAATGGAAAGTGGGGGTTCTGATGTAAAGGGAGCCTCTGATGTGAAAGGAGGGGCTCTGATGTGAAGGGGGCTCCTGATTTGAAGGGAGAGTCCTTTTTTGTGTTTTTGGTTGCGTCCTCTGTTAAAGTCCATACCACAACCCTATGTGGGGTAAGGGCCTGATGGATTATGGAGCGGCCATACATTTTTTTTCTACATTTTAGACTGGGATGCCTCAAGATTTTCCATACTTTTCAAGGGTGATGTGACTGGAAAAAAAGGTTGAGAAATGCTGTCCTAGACATAAATGTCCAGTGAACCCCTGCAATGCATGGGCAGCCCCAATGCAATGGGAGGTTTTTTGTTTTTATTTTTCAGTCTAAGAACATTTACAGCAAGTATAGAAAATTCCTTTTGCTCTCGCTAGAAATGTCTATGTCCTTGTCAGTATGTCTGTGAAGGTCCTCATTTATCCAGATCATGAGATACCTAGCAGTAGCTGATCACATTCAACTGGCCTTGTTCTGTAATGTTGAAGATGTTTTGTAGCTTATCCAAGGCATTTCTTCAGTCCTAATGAGTGTCAGGAAGATACTTATATCCACACAGGCAACGCAGACACCTCTATCCAATCACCATGGAATGTGTTAAGGCAGATGGAGATTCTCCAAGAACAGGGATGGGAGGTGTGAAAGCTCTAGTTACATAATCCTATCCATGGTGTCATGAAGGCTGCATAGGTGTTGATCCTTCAATTGACATGGTTGAAGGTATAAATTGTTGTCAAATCGATGGTGTAGAAATGTTAGAAATGCATTAAATGTGGACGATAGATGGCGTTGAAGGCCCCCCACCCCTGTTAAGGGATGGTTGTGCCAGTTTGACGTAGATGGCCTCTTTCACGCTTCTTGCAAACAGCTGTCCCAAATGTGCACCTTGTGCAAAACTGGCACTTCAGAAATATAAGCTTTAACATTACAGAACAAGTCCAGATGAATGAGACTAACTATCACAGAAAGACATTGCTGGACACAACCTAAACGTAATACTTTCTGAGCTGTCTCTGGCTTCAACATTTTTGTAATCACTGACCTTGAACCTTCAGGTCTGCACACCTACTGTGGACATTATGAGGAACTTCCACCCTTCCTTTTCCTTTTTTTATTTATTCTAATTATGGAGAATGTAACAGTACAGAGTACAAAGCTCCCCAAGCTTCCAGGTAGACAGGAACAGAGGCAAGAATTAATCAGGGCGATCTTACTATTGGAATGTACAAGATATAAAAGTAGTCAAGGTCTGACTTCACCTACTAAAATAGCCCTTGTGGGTGGACAGGCTATTTAAGTAATGCCTCTGTAAGATGTTTTAAAGACAACTTACCATTTGTGTGGTACTGGAATTTACGTCCGCTTGACCTGGTTGTAGCCGAGGACTCTGCAAGTGTAAGAAATATTAGAAAATGTTATAAAAATAGTCCCATGAAATAGGGTCTTGATATAAGATTATATGGTATAAAATATGATCCCTGCCTGCCTATTGTGACCTTGGCCCGTTCACTGGATTCTGCCTTTTGGCTTGTACCGCTCTGATCCGATATTACCAACCCCAACCCTGCTACTGGCATCCGGTCTGCTACCTCACTGCCCGCCTGGTTTGACCTCGGCTTGTGACCTCAACTCTGCTCCTGATTCCTGTTTCGACCTTTCTGCTGCTCAACTGTCACCAATCTCCATTCACTGGGTTTATCCACCTGGACTTGGTGCAGAATCAACCCGCTACACCAGACTCATGCCACTCAGACTCCCTGTCCCCACTTCCAGGGGTGTTGGACGAGAGGTGCAAGAGAAGCCCCCTTTCATATTAATGACATATTATTTGGAAATTCCTGGGTACCAGTGAAGGAAGCAGACGTTATTACATACCGTACACTCCAGCTTATCAATCAGCTGCTCTAAGCGATTGATCTGTATGGACCACTGGGTCTCGCCCTCTGCAGACTGGCCTAGAGGAGACACAAGGGAACATTACACAGAGGAATCAACACATGACATAAGCTGACCACCTTGTGTATGAAGTGAAGAAATGATTATGTGATCAGAAGTTGCCTTTCATGTTTCAATGGCATGGAAGGGAGAAAATGATTGACTGCTATGGCCAAAACAAAAGTTTTTCTGTCCTTAAGACGCTGGGAAAGTGATAGGTAAAACTGTACCATTGGCCAATATTCCGGAATAAGCATCTGTAGACAGGGAACATACAGACTTGTGAGATCGGCGGGCGCATCTACGACCAGCTTGTTTAGGCTCTGACTGCTTGCCATCCTGTCTTAAAATAAAAAAAATGATGTGATTAATATAAATGCAGTGCTGAACCAGTCAATAATGTCCAATTCCAGACAATACTTTTTAGTTTAAAAAAGGAAAAGGACTGGATGCTTCTACCAGATTTTAAATGCTGTCTGCGTGTGTGTGTGTCCCGGCATACAACCTAGCCAGCAAAAAAAGTAATCTGTTTAAATCACCTTTCATACCATGTTACACTCATATTTAGGGTGGAACATGGAACATGGTGCCAGCCCCCCACCCTCAAACCGACCTCCTCAACTTACATCTCCCTGCAGGATTCTGCATATTTGTTTTTATCTGACAGCACTGTGTGTGGCTCCTCCATGTCAGTTATTCACAGGATCTGTAAATTTAAAAAAACCTACAAGTTCCAACTGCCACTGCTGCAGAGGGACTCGTAATTCTCAATGGCAAAGATGTCACCACACTTATAGTCCATTGATAACTTCCACCAGTCCTGCAACCGAAGATCCGTAACTCCGTACAGACCTGTGGCTGGAAGAACAGTCTGCAGGGGCCTCTGCATTGCACTCATGACCAACTGCTTTGCAGGCTTCAATTTAAAAAGAAAATGCACATTTATTCTTTTTGAAGTATGGGTGTATTTATGGATTTTTTGCCCACAAAAGTGGAACGTGCAATCAACAACTCAGGTTAAAAATAGAGGTATTATTTGCATATATTTGCAAATAAAGTGGAAGCCTCACTGCCTTTAAGGAGGTCGGGGTGACTCCAGGTGAGCCTGCTCCCTGTGTGTGCATTGCTATATGTGTCTCATGGTTGGGTAGCTCAGACAGTTTAGAGTTCCGGATCACACTTATCAGAGGTGCCTTGACAAGACAGTGTGGCTTCCACGTGTATTTGCAAATGTATACAACTAAAACCTCTCTGTTTAACCTCAGTAAAGAACAGATGAGTTAGTATTTTTGTTTGCTGGCTAACTTGAGTGTACTTGGGGCCCCTTTTGTACTTCTGTGTATAGTGCCCTTCCCATGTGCACCTTTCTCTTTTTTGCTAGTTTTAAACAAAAAAAAAATGCTACCTGTGACTCTGATAGCAGGAATCTCCTTCTCACTTTCTTTTCTGTCTGATGTCTGTCACATTGACAGAAAAATTAGGAAACCCGGCAGTGGCATGGAGTCGGCTTCGTTTCCAATCGGGAAGCGGGATGGCACCTCATGATTCGCTGCCCAGCTTCCTGGGAAGCCATTGTCCTTTCGCTAGAACACCGGCTTCACAGGCAATCAGGAAGCCGGATGATGGGTCATGATCCACTGCCTGACTTCCTGGTAATCAGGGCACATGGCACCGGTACTCGGTATCGGCGAGTACCGGGAAAAAAATATCGGTACTCGATACCGAGAAAACGGTATCGGTGAATTCCAGTTTTAGGGAAGTAGAACTGGGAGAGTTGGAGTTGGATCTCTTTGGAAACATGATGACTGTATGTGCTTGGGCTGGAAATATAAAACAAAATGCTGGCCAATGTATGTTTGTTTGCTCTGGATTCATTATTGAATACAATGTTTTTAGAGTTTAATACAACTTTAATCCTGCCTGTCAGCAGTTTTTTGAATACAACACTTAACTTCCACTTTAGAAGTAGAAATACTATTATTCAGCTGGTGTTTGCTCTCACTTGCAGATGAAATGAGTACTAATATATTAACTGTGTTGCAAGAACATACATTATCCACCTAAGTGCTGTAAATAATAATTCCATAGAACGGGGCTGATGATTTGCATTGGCAGATAGAAACAATGTTGCAAAACAGAAAAACTGAATCTACTCTATGCTCTGAGGATCTGTGAAAACTCGGGAGGCTGCCAGAGGCAATCATCAGCGCCAGCTAATGGAATTATTATTTACGGCACTTGTGTGGATAATGAGTCTACTTGCAACGCAGTAATGCCGGTATTATTGGAATTGACGGGACTATTCATTATATACTAGTGCTCATTTCATCTGCAAGTGGAAGCTGATTTGTTATGTATATTCCTAAAGCAGACCTTTACCCCCTTTTGCTAAAAATCACACGAGCATGCAGCTCTGCATGCTGATATAAAATCATCTTACATTCATTAGTTAAAAATGTTTTGCTTTTACTTAAAATGACTGTGTTATCATTTCCTGGTTGGGTTAGGCAATGGTGATGTAGCCCTGGCCTCACTGATGCATTCTGGGAAGGTTACATCACCAGTGCCTTCCTGGAAAATCTCATCTGTAAACTGCAAAATCTTACGAGGGAAATACATTTTTGCCCCTCAAATGATGTGCACTGTCACATATTCCAGGAGCCAGACCCTGCGTTCAGTAAAGGGAGTTGGATTCATCTGCTCTTAGTAAAAATGGCCACCATGAAAAGAATGAGGAGGAAAAGAAAAATAAGGTATGCAAAGAATACAAAATCCTGCAATTATCTAGAAGTATCTGTTTGTTATTACTAAACATTTGTAAAGGTTCCTTTGTTGTTATTTGCAAGATAAGGGTGAAGTTCCTCCTTAAGAACATTTGATCAGAAGGCAATATACTCTAAAAACATTTGATTTCGCCCCATTCTCACAACCGCTGATTAACATGCACAAAATGAATGTACATGCAATTTCGTTAGACAAACAGCTGTGCAATTATTTTTATAAATAGACCTCTAAATGCACACCTTGTAAGCAATTATTTTACGTTTAGATTGTAAGATGTAAGGAATGGTGCAAGGTACAATGCAAGGCACTATGTGTAATGGAGAGGTGCAGGCGCTATGGATAAAAGAGATGTGTGAGATATTGTATAATGTATGTATAATGTAATGTATGCTGATGTATAAACCGTTCGCACAGCTCTTCATTGTGTGAATGAGATGCATAGTGCTATTAGGCCACTAGATGGCGCTGGAGAGTATAGGAAATCCAGTGGCCATACAGTGCTGCAAATCATGTTTGCACAGCGAAGAACTGTGCAGTTTATAAGTCAGCCTATGTGTAAGAGAGACGCGTGATTCACTACTTGTAATAGAGAGGTATGAGTTTATTTCTGTTATATTAGGAACCACATGGTAATATACACAGATGGCAGTGTCCTACCTCTCTCGTCCAGCTTGAGCCTCTATTGCTTCTAGAGCACACTCCATGGAGCTTTGCAGGGAATGTAGTTGGTTCATGGTCTCCCGAAGCAAAAATCGTGTGACAAACTGTTCTGTCTGGGAGGCGTTCTCATAGTTCTGTGAATAATAAATTAATATTGGAATATATCAGAACGTCCATCACAACTTCTAAAACATACACCTGCGCCATTCTTTGGCCTCTATTGAGCCCATCTGTGACAGAGTCTCTGCAAGAGGAGACCCTTAGTTCAATTTAAGCTTTGCTAGTGCAAGGCTGAGAAACTTTCAGCCTTGACTTTTATAAGAAAAACATAAACGGGACCTGAACAAACACATTGTTTTCAAAACAAATAAGTTAGTACAATAAAACTGGATATCATTTTATTTTTATGTTTGCTGTGTAACATTTTCCGCACCTTAAAAGTCCTAATTTGAGGATCTTTGCCCACAGAGATTTGGAGCTTATAAAGGGCTTCTTCTCTTTGCCCACAGAGATTTGGAGCTTATAAAGGGCTTCTTCTCTTTGCCCCTGCGGGTGATCAAAGTGAAGGTGAATATAAGCAACTCGGTGTGGCCAGGATGGTTTCAAGTGAACCTGTCACTTAGTCCTACATGGTCCATTCTATAGTGAACCTTTCCACTGCTCAAGCTTGCAAACATAAAGAAGCCTTCATAATCCGCTCCATCGCTTTCTAAACGCACTCCTTTCCCCAGTTCGTTAAATGATTTGCTCATCTTGAGTTTCACAAGAACTGGGGAGGGCACAAGCAAATCACAGACCGATGAATGCCGCTTGTAACGTGTGCAGATAAGCAGGCACGTGTTGGAGCTCCACATGCCACAAAGAGCCGGGTATAGCCATCTGATGCCAATTAACACGGTCAGCATTTCAAAACACCTCCACATGACGTCAGAGGCGGCCTGCGCACTACAGCTTAACAAGTGCCTTGAAATTCAAAAGAGATTTTCACTGCTGCCCGTCCAGACTGTTTATCGCTGCGGAGAGCCAGGCTTTGTTCGGCACTGATAAAGAAGGAGGCTATTTTTGTAAAGCTACTTGTAAATTGCTCTGCTAAAAAATACAAATGCTATTGGGAAGTCGAAATGCGGCGCGGCAGGATGTCTGTTTATGCAACGCTTGATGATGCATTCTGAATTTATAGAGCTGTTAAAACAAACTGCAGAGCCTCGAAATCTGAATAAGGACTACATGTCCAAGCATGACCAGCAAAACCTCTGCCTAGCCTACAGATCAAGACGAAGAGTCAATGTATGATGAAGGCAAGGTGTGTCCATTCAATGGCCAATTATCATATAACTCGACCAATATCAACAGTATAAGCCAGGGATATGGCACCTTTGGCTCTGCAGCTGGGCTGAACCTACAAATCCCATCATGCTTCTGCCTCTGGAAGTCATGCCTGTGGCTGACAGAATCTTGCAATTCTTTATGGGAGTTGTAGTTCCACCACAGCTGGAGGTTGTGGAAATACAATGTTGCCTACCCCTGCTATTATCAGTAATGAAGCCAGATGCTTCATTATCAGATGCTTGTGTCCCCTGCCACACACTGTGGTTCAGTCCGCTGCTGACCCTTACATTACTGCAGGACACAGCAGTGATATAGTGGTCAGAGGACTGAACCACGTCGCATGGAGGGGTACAGAAGCATTTGACTTTTCAGGAAGTGTCAGGTGCTTGTGTTTCCTGCCATGCACAGTGGTTCAGTCCTCTGACCTTTACATTACTGCAGGAGACAGCAGTGATATAGTGGTCAGAGGACTGAACCACGTCGCATGGAGGGGTACAGAAGCATTTGACTTTTCAGGAAGTGTCAGGTGCTTGTGTTTCCTGCCATGCACAGTGGTTCAGTCCTCTGACCTTTACATTACTGCAGGAGACAGCAGTGATATAGTGGTCAGAGGACTGAACCATGTCGCATGGAGGAGTACAGAAGCATTTGAATTTTCTGGAAGTGTCAGGTACTTGTGTTCGCTGCAATGTACTGTGGTTCAGTGGTCGGAGGACTGAACCATGTTGCAGGGAGGGGGACAGAAGCAACTGACTTTTCTGGCAGTGTCCCCTGCCACACACTGTGGTTCAGTCCTCTAACCCTTAGATTAGTGCAGGACACAGCAGTGATATAGTGGTCAGAGGACTGAACCATGTCGCACGGAGGGGTACAGAAGCATGATGGCCGCCGGCAGTTTAAAACGCGTGATGTCACTACAAGCGTGCATGATGGCGTCCCAGCGGGTGACACCCCCCCTGCGGAAGCCTCTGCTGAGACAAGTTTCCTCACTGGAAAATGTCCCTTCTGTTCCTGTTCTGTTGTCAATATGTATCCAGTCAAGCAAGCCCTTGCACTAGGCAGAGCACATATAAAAGACACAAATGAATGGAGCTCTGTATTAATTGATACAGATGTTTGTGAATGAAGTAATGTAAGTACCCAAATTTGACCTGATAACAACCTCTTGTAGTCCCAGTACAAAAGAGCTCACAGTGTAAGAAGAAAAAGCAGAACATGGAGACAAAAAGCATGAGAGAGCAGAGTAACATATGGATGAGCTCATTAGGGTACATGGCAGCCTTGGCTCAGCATTAGATAATGCTGACTATCCTTCAATCTGGAAGACTGAGGACATCTTGTGGCAGAAAAAAAGTACTGCGGGCATCAGCTCTGAATTGAAGGATAATACTGCAGCAAAAAGTGCTTTTTTTAATCTCTTATTGGGCTTTTATGTTCTTTTTTCCCTGCAGTTCTCCTTTAAGACACACGCTAATACCAACAAATAGCTTTTTTTGTGTCATTTTTTAGTATCTTTAGAGAATACAGAACATGCAGGCAGTTGTTTTTTAATGAAGTGGCTTTGGGAGTATTTATGCATATCTTGGTACAGAGCGGACACTTGACTATTCATCAGAGGAACTCTAATAGTATAATTAATAGGACACAAATCCCAAACCTGGCACACATTTCCCCAGACGGATGCATGACTCAATTCCCTTTTGTACTTAGCCTAGTTATAAATATGTAAAATGTCTCCTCGCCGCTGCCAGGGACTCGCAATCCGCTGTGGCTTCATCTATACGATTCCTGGGGCGCTAATATAAATCCGCAAGTAGAAGAGGTCCTGCGGAGACAACAGGAGGGGCGATCCTTCTGGATATATAAACCTCATTCATAGTTAATAATCCAACTGCAGAGAAGGTGGAGGAAGGGCTGTGCATAGAGTTCAGACCAGTACAGACACATCAAGAGTCACTGGAAACAACCACTTCACCCAACTTCATCCGCCATTTCTGCATCAAAAGCACCACAGTCAGCTCATATTGTGAGATCTGTGCTTTGTATAAGAAAACTGTCATTTGATTATTATTTGTCTTTTCTTTACTCATCTTTGTTATAATGAAATAACGAGGAGACAAGAATCATGAACAGGAAGTGCTCTGCAATACGCCTTCTACAGCAGACAAGATGGAAAATCTTACTGAACAGGCTGGATGGGTGAGATGTTAAATGTATCACTTTTATAGATTAGTAGAGCCTTAAAATGAACGGTATCTAGACATCTCACTTCCTCAGCAAATACAAAGAATATCCTAATGTTAGGAGAGTGGGCGTGGCCATGCAAATTAACCCTGGGCCAACTGTGCATCCAAAACTGCTGGTTCATAGTATAGATTCAGACTGATATTAAAGGAGAACTATGAGGTGAGCGAAAATCACTCAGCCTCATAGTTCGAGCCGACGTGTGACAATGAAACTGTCACACGTCAGCTCAATAGATCGGGAAGTGAGCGAACACATACCGTCGCTCGCTCACTTCTCGATCATGCCCCTGCAGAGAGCAGTGACTGTCACTCACGGCTCCCTGCAGGGATTCCCCCCTCCACGCTCCGATCCTCCAGCTCTGAATGGCGGAACGGACGGGGGAGGGGGCGGGTACAGCTGGCTCTTCCTCTAGATAGGCAGAGCCAACTGTCAATCACGCAGCTGGGTGGATCTCGACAGTAATGTCGGGATCCGTCCCGGCTTCGGCGGTCTCAGTATACCGCGAGCTGTAGCTCGCGGTATACTGAGCTTTTGGTCACGGGAGGACACTAGTTTGTGTCCTCCTGTGACCCTTAGGAGAACTATCGAGAAAAACCCTTACCACATAGTTCTTCTTTAAAGAGCCGTTTATTCCAGATTCCATACAGCTAACTGGAACTTTGATGATTGATTTCTCCGCAGTGCCTGCAGCTACAGAGACCACAGTGTGGGCTTGTTTATACCAGAACTCCACAGTGCCTGCAGCTACAGAGATTACTGCTGGCTTGTTTTAAAGCAGAACTACTTAGTGCCTGCAGCTACAGAGACCACTGTCGGCTTGTTTATACCAGAACTTTACAGTGTCTGCAGCTACAGAGACCACTCTCAGCTTGTTTTAAAGCAGGACTCCTCAGTGCCTGCAGCTACAGAGACCACTGTCAGCTTGTTTATACCAGAACTTCACAGTGCTTGCAGCTAAAGAGATCACTGTCGGCTTGTTTTAAAGCAGAACTTCTCAGTGCCTGCAGCTACAGAGACCACTGTCGGCTTGTCCATACTAGAACTCCACAGTGTCTGCAGCTACAGAGACCACTGTCAGCTTGTTTATACCAGAACTTCACAGTGCTTGCAGCTAAAGAGATCACTGTCGGCTTGTTTTAAAGCAGAACTCCTCAGTGCCTGCAGCTACAGAGACCACTGTCAGCTTGTTTATACCAGAACTTCACAGTGCTTGCAGCTAAAGAGATCACTGTCGGCTTGTTTTAAAGCAGAACTCCTCAGTGCCTGCAGCTACAGAGACCACTGTCGGCTTGTTTGTTCTAGAACCAGTGCTTGCAGCTACAGAGACCACTGTCGGCTTGTTTTAAAGCAGAACTACTCAGTGCCTGCAGCTACAGAGACCACTGTCAGCTTGTTTATACCAGAACTCCTCAGTGCCTGTAGCTACAGAGATCACTGTAGGCTTGTTTATACCAGAGCTCCACAGTGTCTGCAGCTACAGAGACCACTGTCGGCTTGTTTATACCAGAGCTCCACAGTGTCTGCAGCTACAGAGATCACTGTTGGCTTGTTTTAAACC